TTGATTGATTGATTGATTTTCTAATTTGAATAACGAAAATGGCGAGGGTTAGGGGGAATCGGCATCAAGGGAAGAGATCCTCTACGATGGTTCTGGTGCTTTCGATGCTATTAATGCTGTCGGTAGTGCTCTTGATGCTCCTCGGCCTCGGGATCCTCTCCCTTCCGATTGGCGCCGGAGAGGACTCTTTGCCCGTCGCCGATCGAATCAAACTGAAGCGATTCAAATTGGAGATGTAATATGTTTACCTTTTTTTTAGTTTTCTTATAGCATTTGTGTTTGATATATCGCGGATTACATATAGCAGCACTGTTTTCTTGCTGTGTAGCAGCAAAAGCGAAGGGGAAGGATTGGGGAAAAGAGGGGAGCAGTGGACGGAGATTCTATCGTGGGAGCCTAGGGCTTTCTTGTATCATAACTTTTTGGTGAGTTTTGTTATATCTTTTCTATTGTAGTTTTGAGGGTAAATGTGGATCAAGAATGAGCTTCGGTTAGGCATGTATGTTTCTCTGTGTTTGTGTTCAGTTTATTCGGTTGCAAGGAGTTTTGTTGTTTTATTTGGAATTGCCATTGTTATGTTAGGAGGTGAAAAATACGAATTGAGAGTTGAAGCTGTTAGACCTTCTTTTGATGCTTTGGGTTTTAGATTAATGTAGGTGCTGGATGTTGGTCCATTTAGTTGATCATGCTATTTTAAGTCGAATAGATTGAATCGTGACTGATTGTTTAATTTGATTACTAAAAGTGAGGTGTCTTGGACATTGATATTAGTCAGAGCCATTTATCCCACTCTCCACTTTTCCCGTTTCTTTTTATTCATTGAAAAGCAAGCAAGATTGCTAAAGCAATCTCAAATTTGAGCCAGACACGATTTATTATAAAACTGTGCGTACTTTAGCCCCTAACTGCAAAATGTAGTATTTATCCCATTGTTTGTTTAAGGCTATAAGCTGGATAGAAGATAGCATGAGAATCTGAGATAGCAAGCGTGTCATAGTTGTCTGAAAATCTGCACTTTTATTTTCTTGATGATTTATTCACAACAAGCGTTAGGTGTTAACTGTTTTTGGGTTTCTCTTATTACTCTAACAAACTCTGGTTCTGAGAAGGATGAATTAAGACCTTAAATTGGTAATACTTAGTTTAGTTCTAAGTTCTAACTTGATATGTTTATTTGATGCCACAAGATGTAAAGGTTTCTATACTGCTATTTTCCGAATAATGTCACTTGTTTGGGATAAAGTTTATCTGTAACTGACTACTTTTTGCTGGCAGTCCAAGGAAGAATGTGAGTATCTGATAAATCTTGCCATACCTCACATGGTGAAATCTACAGTGGTTGATAGCAAGACCGGCAAGAGCAAGGATAGCAGGTTGATTCATCTAAACAATTTTCATTATTTTTATCAGTGTTTTGTGTTCCATCGCAATGCTTTAGAATTGGCTCTGGAGCTTGAATTTCAGTTATCCCATGTTTTTTACTTATAATGACGCGAAATCACATTTCAGAGTTCGCACGAGTTCTGGAATGTTCTTGAGGAGAGGGCGAGATAAAGTCATCAGAGATATTGAAAAACGAATTGCGGACTTTACCTTCATACCTGCAGGCATGTGGATTTAATTGCTTATATAGGAATCTGCACTGTGTGATTGGTCATGCATGAGGCAGGTCTTGTGTCACTGTTAATTGACCGATTGTTTTGGTTGCTGTAATTCATAAAATTCAGACATAAAACTTACAGTCTGGCAGTAATATCCGTATTTCTAAGTTCTGGGAGTCGAAATTTGTATCAAAAACTGGAAATGGTATTTGACTCGATTTTTTCTTTCAATCAGCTTTTGTTCTTGCTTTGGCTGTCAACTTTTGGAATTTCTATTTTCTGAGTTGAGTTGAGAGTTGAAATTTGTGCTAAAAGTTGGAACGAGATTTGATTCGTTTCTTTCTTTCACGTTCCAAAATAGTCAGCCTTCGCTTTTCTTGCTTTGGTCGTCAACTTTTGATAAAACAAAAGTTCCACATGTGATATCTTCGTAATATATTTTCGTTTTTTGCTTCCTTCCTTCCCCGACCCCCACCTGTATTTTTTATGTTATTCTAAGTGCCAACAGCCTTATTATGTTTTCACTATAACAACAGAGCATGGAGAAGGTCTTCAAATTCTTCACTATGAAGAGGGACAAAAGTACGAGCCCCATTTTGACTACTTTCTTGACGAATTCAACACAAAAAACGGGGGTCAACGCATAGCCACTTTACTGATGTACTTGTAAGCAGTACCCCATATTTATTTTAATGCTCCCCGAGTATCTAAAATTTTTGGATAATGTATTTCAGTAAGACATTCAATGCAGGTCAGATGTTGAGGAAGGGGGTGAGACAGTTTTTCCCGCTGCCCAGGGCAGTTTTAACTCCACGCCAGGGTGGAACGAGATGTCTGAGTGTGCTAAGAGGGGCCTATCTGTGAAACCCAAAATGGGTGATGCATTACTTTTCTGGAGCATGAGGCCGGATGCTACTCTGGATCCAACAAGCCTGCATGGTGAGTGCCAATTTTTGTTTTGTATGTGATTTTTATCAATTTAAATTTCCTGTATGCTTTATCAGAAGCCAGGGAGAAGTAAAGAAGACGGTCACATTAAAGAGAAAAAATTGACTGTATGCTAATATTCTAATACAACGATCTTGCAGTAAATATAAACTTCTTCTCAAGGTCTGTATTGCCTAATAGATGTGCATGTGCCTACTTTCTTTTGGTCATTTGAATATGGGTTGACCGTGAATTCTAAAACTTCATTCCAGGTGGTTGCCCAGTTATCAAAGGGAACAAATGGTCATCAACGAAGTGGATGCATGTTGGTGAATATAAAGTCTAGGAATATCGCAAGGTAAGATTTAAAAAATTCGGAATATATTCAGGAAATGTATTTCTTCTTGTCTCGTGACCTTTTTCTTTGTCATTTAAATGAATGCTCTGCATTTCCCACCATTGTGAGAAGGATTGTGATTTTCCTTCTTTTTTCTTTTGAGTAGGTGATGAGAAAGTGAAGATTCGATTGACTAAGTTTCAACTAATTTGTGACTGTTAACAGCATTCGTGCTTTTGAGAATTTCGAGGATGGCGTTCGCGCGAGGGAATTTCGTTTCTTGAAATAATGTTGTGGCTACACCCAATAGTCCAATACAATACATGCTTCATAGGAAATGTTCAGGAAATAGACGATTGAAAAGCCCCCTTTTCTTTTTTTGAGAACATCAATTTTGAGTATATAGTGTATCTGTAGATTGTTGTACTATCATGAGAAAATCTTTTCCTCAATGGCAGGATGTTTCTTATGCAATTATTTCTGTCCTTGAGGACAACACATGAGGAGCAAATAGTGAAATGGCCACTCAAAAGTAGCTCTATAAAGAGAGAACATGGGTCTGGAGATTTAGAAATCTCCAAAACTAAATAAAAAATAGTAGATTAATCTCAAGAATTATACTAGAAACTAGTATTTGATCTGTGCATTTGCACATATATAAAACGCGTTTTTGTTTGTATTTATAAATTAAACATGTACTTTTATCATATAAAAATTATTACTTTTTCTTAAGTTATTTTTATTATTCAAAAATTAATTGAGATTGGAAGTTTATTGTAACCATGCAATCTTTACATTAGTAACATGAATAAAATATATATTATATTTGTGGCATATATGAAAAAAATTAACATAAATAAAAAAATTATTGGTGTTTTTGATTTTTAGAAAAAAAATGTGACAGTCATATTTTACTTGCAACAATACAACCAAATATAGCCGTTACAATTCCGAATGTGACAATCAACTTTAAGTTTCAACATTAGCCGTTACACATTTGTATATTTTGCTACCAAATTTAAAATTAATTTAGTAATTGATCCAAAAAATAAATAATAAAAATATATGTGTAACGGTTTTGGCATATTAGTGAGTAATTAATTAAAAAAAATGTAACTCCGTTTAGAGAGAAATTGAAATAAATTTTATTAAATATTTTATCAAATGAATCAGCTAGTGATAATATATATAGATTGGGATGACTTGATTCAATACGAACATTCATGACTGCAACAACGTTTTAAATAAGCACGATTCGCATTGATTAAGGAGATTTTTTTATTAACTTATTACAAAAAAAAAAAAAAAAAAGTAAAGTTATTAATCTAAAACTCATTTTTTTGAATTAATATCTACTTATAAAGAATTACCGATGTAACTTTTAAACTTTAAACTTCTATGTAATTGTGAACTTATTTAAAAATTTGTTTCGAAATCAACCTTGTAAAAATACAAATGAATCGCAATTTGGTTAATATAATTATAAGGTTATGTATGTGATAATGTGAGAAATAGTAGTGAAAATTTAAACATCTAATGAAATAGATATTGTTCATAACTGAATGCAGTTACCAAACTAGTTTTACGTATACTAGTATTTGATCATGTGTATTTGCACAGATCTAAACACGTTTTTGTTTGTATTTTTTAATTAGACATGTACTTTTATCATATAAACATGATTACTTCTTCTTAAGTTATTTTTCTCATTCAAAATTAACTGAGATTTAAATTTTATTTTAACCATGCAATGTTTAAATTAGTAACATGAATAAAATAATATATATATTTGTGGCATATATTAAGAAAATTAACATAAATACAAAAATTATTGGTATTTTTTATTTTTAGAAAAATCAAAAACATTTTGCCGTAGGTTAGAATGCTCGTTCATTATGAGGAAGATAGGATCTAATGTCCTTCACCAGGGTGTGTAGCCATGTTTAGAGGATTGATGGTTTCTAGTTTTAGGTTTTTGTTGCACCAGGTGTACTCGGAGTATATGCGAGAGTGGCAGACCCGTCGATCATTAAGTGGTTCAACACTTATATTTATGTGTCGACCAGGGCCGTCTCCAGAAATTCAAAGACCCTAGGCAAGTTTTTTATTTTCGAATTTTCTCGATTTGAACTTACGTGGTAATTAGGCCTATTCGCAGATAGATCATAAATTTTAACGAGACTATTAAATAAATAAATAAATAATTGAAAAAAAAAAATTCTTGAACTTGGAATTGATAAATTACCTCCAGGCTACAAAAATCTTTAATAAATTACAATCATCCAATCACGAGGACACGAAAAACAAGAAAATAAAAATCATATCACTACAAAGAATATTTATTTTCACACAACTTGTTCTGACCGAACGTCATACGAAAAAAAATGAAATATTTAGGGCCTCAATCCCCCACAAACTACATATTTTGTCATTAGCTCCTTCATTTGTGTAATAATTTAAGTCCATATTTAACCATTAACCCCTTCATTTGTGTAAATATTGTGTAAATAGACAAAATTCAACATAAATACATAATATTAAAAAAATAATGAGGCCTCATTTGTGTAGACAGACAAAACTCGACACAAATACATAATATTAAAAAAAATATGAGGCCCCAAATAAAAAGGAGGCCCTAAGCTCATGCCTAGGTTGCCTCCCCTCTAGAGCGGGCCCTGGTGTCGACTGCCCTAGTATAGAGGATGATGTGTAAGTTTTTCTTTTTCTCATATCTCCGTGGGACCCTCAAATGCGAATTTGTTAGTTTTTTATTCTTTTTCAATACAACCGAGAAGACCATGATACGGCGCGCGAGTCGAGAACTTCATAGAAACCCATACAGAATTTTGAGAATACCTAGGAAAGATAGAAGTTGTTGACCATTAACCTGAAAGTGAGAGTTTGGTGTTGGCTGAACTTCATCCTATCGCGATCGATACATCCATTAAACCAGGTATTTGCTTTACCCTATGGCGATCTCCATTGATCACCACCCAATATGGATTGAGTACTAATGTTTCTCGAGATCGACCATAATCTTAATAAATTTTTGTCGATCTGCAATTTATTTTCCTGCAATAAACGTATTGGGCACCTGATGGAGACGAGATCGCATTGGCGTTTATGCAGAAATACGACCAAATGCCTTCTTTAGTCTAGTTATTTATTTCCTAACTTTTATTTATATTCCATGTTTATTTAATATTTATTTAATTTAAGTATTATTCCCTTATTTAGGATGTTTATGAGACCTAGGATTTGGAGACTATTTATTCTCTTATTCTCTCTTATGAAAAACAGTTTTATCGTGAAATAAAATTATTGTTTAGGAGATTTCATCTCTTTATTTCCTTTTGTTCGACGCTGCGCTACATCAGTTGGTAATCAGAATAAGCTACGATCCACGATGCCTCCAAAGAGGACTGACCCTGCCGATGATCGACGGGACGCAGCGATTGCTTCCCTCATGCGCCAAAACGAGGGTTTTGGTCGGCAGATCGACGAACTCACGG